CCGTTCTGATGTACTGGTGGTGTGTTAATTTTGCATCTAGAACGGCCCGTTTCAGATGCAAAATTAACACACCAATAGTGCATCCAGAACGGCCCGTTCTGGTTCCAGGTGTTTTCACAAAATTTGGGGTCCACGTAATATCCACGTATGCATCTACGTGACATCCACATGGCCAACAGTTAACTCCGTTTAAATAATTTGGACAGAAGTCCCAAATTGAAACCAATTAACTTATGAGGGACCAAATTGAGACAAAAAATAAAAGTGAGAATAAATTGAAACAAACAATTATTATAAGGGACCAAAATAGGTTTTTAGCCTAAAATATATTAATACTTCATTTATATTTTATTCTATTGTGTAATTTCTTTCACTTTATGACAAAATTATCTTAATTTTTATTATTATAATAATATATATTATTTTTTGACTAAAAGATTATGACTTCTTTATTCATTAAAGATTCATAATTTGGTTTATAAATATAGTTTTTTTTAATTTTTAATTTAATTTTTAACCCTTTTGATCTTGTATATGTACATTATGTGTTGGTAGGAGAGGATCCAAATTAAGAGGAATGAGAATAATTGTTATACAAGATTTTTATTATTTTTACTTAAACATATTTAATAAAAAAATAAATTTACGCTTATAAAAAAATAGGCGTTGTTCTCATAAAATACTTTTGTTTTAAATGAACATAGAAATTTAAAAAAGATAAAAAAAAATAATTATATTATCTTTATCTTAATAATTTATACCATTTTGTTCCTCTAATATTAAATAAGTCATTAAGAATTACAAAGCTATACATAAATATAATATTAGACAAAAAAAGAAAAAAAGAAGAAATTAATACTCTATTTATGAGAAAATTTTAATCTATAAAAAATAGGTATATTAATTTTTTTCTCACAAAAATATATTTTTTCTAAAAAATGTTATTATATTTTTTTTAATAAAAATATATTATAAAATATTTTACTGCTTCACTTAATAAATTTTCTAAATCCACGTGTCTGTATTTCTTTTTTGTTAAACATCAATTTAAATAGAAACATATTGATTAGTAAAATATCAATTAAAATTTTGATTCTCAACCTGTTCTGATATTGAAGCTTCAGAACATGATTTGGATAAATTGCTAAGAGAAGCAACAAAATCTACTTTTTGTTGGATTTTATGACAATTATTTTTCTACCACACTAATTCGAATTTTTTTCTGAAATAATATTTTTTTAAAAAAAAATTACAAGAATGATCACTGTGCAGGATTATTTACCAAGATAGAACCATTTACTGTTGGGAACCGAATTCTGAGCATCAAAATGTAATTTTTTTTGTTTTTTCAACTCAGAATTCGGTTCCCGGGGAACCGAATTCTGAGTTGGTTTTAATTTTTTTTTTTTTTTTCGTGTATGGGGCAAATGTGGGCTGATCTGGGAAGCGGAACGGCCCGTTCCAAAAGCAGAACGGGCCGTTCTGCTTAAAGAAACAGAGTGCAAATTCTTTAAGCAGAACGGGCCGTTCTGCTTTTGGAACGGGCCGTTTCACATTCAGAATTTGCACTCTGTTTTTTTAAGCAGAACGGCCCGTTCTGCTTTTGGAACGGGCCGTTCCGCTTCCCAGATCAGCCCACATTTGCCCCCATACACGAAAAAAAAAAAATTTAAAACCAACTCAGAATTCGGTTCCCCGGGAACCGAATTCTGAGTTGAAAAAACAAAAAAAATTACATCAGAATTCGGTTCCCGGGGAACCGAATTCTGAGCTTGAACAGTAAATGGTTCTATCTTGGTAAATAATCCTGCACAGTGATCATTCTTGTAATTTTTTTTAAAAAAAATATTATTCCAGTAAAAAATTCCACTAATTCAGTTTCTTTTATTTGCGATTCTCTTAAAAACTAAGCTATTTGAATAGGGAAAATGTTTAATTTTAATTGGAATACTGGTTAACTATTAACCTTTTGCAATTAGTTTGTCGGTGTGAAGTTTTAAGCCTGAGGAAATAATAATAATAATAATAATAATAATAATAATAATAATAATAGTTTAACTTGGAAAACAAAACATAAAGTTAAGAATAAATCACCAATTTTGTCATCGAACTATTACTCCCTTTCTTAAATGGTCTTTAAAGTAATATTTTTAATATCTAAAATATTAAATATTCTTCAATTTTTAATTCTTAAGTCGATGCATTTCAATAAAATTCAGGGATTAATTTAAAATATTTTTGAATGTTTAAGATATTATTTAGAATAATTCCTAATACTTTCAAAATTACTTACGTAATTTTTCTTATTTTTTAAAATCATTTGAGAATAATACCAATATTTAAGTAAAGTATTTAATGGTCCAAATTTTAGTCTCATGCAATTGAAAAATTATTATATAATTAAGGACTTGAACTATTAACAGTTAATTCTTACACAATATGTACTTAAAATTTCTAATTTATGAAAAAAATGATAAATGTCATATTTAGATTAATTGCTTAAAGATCATGTAGATCTCTACATAAACACTTATATAAAAAAATAAATAAAAATAAAAAACTTCAAAAGTTAAAATAAAAAATAAAAAAATCGTAAGTTATTTTAAATACTAAGTAAATATTACAGCATGGGGTGATGATAGCAATTAGCAAACAATATTACATTAAAATTGCAATACAAGTTCACCCAAAAGGAGAAAGCAATAAATATGTGATCCAAAACCAACCAATAAAGCCAAGCCAAGTCATGAGGCAAATCTATATTCCATGGCTTACATTTACAAAGCATCTTATCTCTCTCTTCCACCACCCCTTTCCATGGTATATGATCCCATAATCTCACATCTTCCATCCACTTAGTGCACGACCACAACACTCTTAACATCTTTTGTTATAGCTCTAGCACAATGGCAGCCTCAGCCTCAGCCTCATCCATGATATCCCTGTCTCCCACCCTCCACAACCACCAAAGCCACAACCTTGTGAAGCCCTCCAACGTGTCCTTTCAGGGCCTAAGACCCCTCACAAGGTCCAATATTGCCACCAAAGTAAGCAGCAAGAAAAGGGTCCCTCGTGGTGGTGGTGTTGTGAGAGCTGAGTTGAACTCTGCCCTTGTGATAAGCCTCAGCACTGGCCTCTCCCTTTTCCTTGGGAGGTTTGTGTTCTTCAACTTCCAAAGGGAGAATGTGGCAAAACAAGTGCCTGAGCAGAATGGTCTCACACACTTTGAGGCTGGTGACACACGTGCCAAGGAGTATGTCAGCCTCCTCAAGTCCAATGACCCTGTTGGCTTCAACATAGTTGATGTCTTGGCTTGGGGCTCCATTGGCCATGTTGTTGCTTACTACATCTTGGCCACCACTAGCAATGGCTATGACCCCAAATTCTTTGGTTGATCATCATCGTCTTCCACTTCTCTCTTGCTAGTTTGTAATGTCATCGTCATGTATAGTTAATTTCCCTCTCAGATCCAACAACTTCAGCATATGCTAATTTGGTTTGCTATGATTTATGGAAAGTGGCACTTTTCTCTCTCTCTCTTGATTTTGTTTTCCTTTTGTCATGAAATAAATTTTGTGCGTTTCTTATTTGATGGCTCCTGTCTGTTTGTTGATATCAAATTAGTTCAGAAAATATTTTCTGTACACATGCCTTTAAAGAAATGTTTATTTACTCCTATTTATCTATAAATATTTACTAAGAAACTTATTCAAATAAGAGTCATGTTCTAATTCCCACACGCCCTTGATGTTTGCTATTTGTTTGATTAATTATTTGAAAAGTGCTTAATGGACACTCACTAATTTCAAAATATAAAAGTAATTATTTTATCTCACTAGTTAAAAAGAAAGTATGATAACTTATCTCCAAACACACCTTACACCTATTTTTCTTTTTGAATAAACCTCTCTCATCCTCGCATTCTATTATCAATATCAAAGAAAGACATTTCTTGTGAGAATTTGAAGCAAAAAGCATAAACTTTTATCGCATGAGAGAAAATATTGAATTTGAAATCGAGTAATTTCTAATTCGTATCATAGAAAGACCAACAATGGATGCAAATTAAAATCTAAACAAGGATAATTTTGTTGAACAAAAAAAGAGACCGTTTAGAACACTTGTTGCCACAAAAAGTCTTGTCTTCATTTACAGAGAGATTGAACTACTAACGGTTGTTGCTCAAAAAGGAAAGAAATAATACAAACATGACCTATTTCGTTTTTGTTATATAATCTTAAATTTTAGAGATATCCGAGTTAGTTTATCTGTTTTATTTGTTTTAGTTTAGATAAGATAGTTTTTGATAACATTTGTTTTGATAAGATATTTTGTTTTTTTTTTTTTTAATTTGGTACTTTGTACAATGGCTATTTAAAGGCCATCTCTTATTCAATAAAAAGTACAGTGAGTTGCTACGTTCACCCAATACTAGTATTACTCGTCTCTCTTATTTTCTACAAATTGGTATCAGAGCTTTATGCTCTGAGGGCTGAGTGTGAGAGGAAAACAGTGTGCGCCTGTGAAAGGGAAGAAAGAAGAAAGAGAGAGTAATGGCGAAGGTTGTTAATGGAATGACTGTACCACAACTGTCAAAGAAAACCAATTATGATAATTGGTGTTTACAGATGAAGACCCTGTTGGGTTCCCAAAGTCTATGGGACATAGTGGAGAAGGGGTTCCAAGAACCCGAGGAGGACGAAGACCAATCTGTGGTTCAGATTGCCGCATTAGAAAAGACACGAGTGAAGGACAAATCGACTTTGTATTTTTTGTACAATGCCGTGGATGAGTCAGGTTTCGAGAAGATTGCAAACGCTGCATCTTCAAAGGAAGCATGGAAGATCTTAGAGGTTGCGCACAGAGGTAACCACTGTGTCAGACAGATCCGACTTCAAACTCTCCGAGGAGAGTTTGAGTGTTTGAAGATGGAGGATAAGGAACAAGTATCCGAGTACATAACTCGGGTGGAGAAGGTGGCTAACCAACTAGGAAGGAATGGGGAGCCAATGCCAGCAAGTAGAATTGTGGAGAAAATCTTGAGATCATTAACAGATGATTTCGAGAGTATTGCATGCGTAATTGAGGAGTCAAAGGACTTGTCAGTTCTCTCAGTGGAAGAGCTCGCTGGGTCACTCGAAGCCCACGAACAAAGGAGGAGGAAGATGAAGAATACTCTTGATCAAGCATTACAGGCGCAACTTGATTTGAATGAAACTCGGAACACTCAGGGCCGAAGATCAGGAGGACAAGGACGAGGTGATCATGGAGGACGAGGCAAAGGACGAGGTGATCATGGAGGTGATCAAGGACGAGGTCGAGGACGAGGTGACCATGGAGGTGGACAAGGACGAGGTGATCGTAGCCAAGGAAGTCAGCCGAGGTCCGAGGTGGAATGTTATAAGTGTGGCAAACTCGGCCACTACGCAAAGGAATGCAGATCGGCAAATTGCTACAACTGTGGCAAATACGGTCACATAGCAAAGTATTGCCGAGCTAAAAGCCGAAGTGAAGAGAAAGAGAAGAATCTTCTCACAGAAGAAGAGGACGAGGAAGCAGGAATTTTGATGATGACGCAGAGCTCGGAGACCAAGCTACGTCCGAGTTGTGCCTCCGAGGTTCAGCTAAACTTGAGTTGCGTGGAGAGATCAGTAGTTGAGCTTCCAAGCTCAGATGAGAAGTCAGAAGCCGAGCTTGATTCAGGTTGCTTAAACAACTCGATCTGATATTTGGACACTAGAGCGAGCAATCATATGTGCGGAGAAGAGAGTTTCTTCAACGAACTCATCATGGTGAAGGCTGGATTCGTGTCATTTGGGGATGATTCCAAGGTAGCGGTAAAAGGGCGTGGAACCATCAGGCATATGCAGAAGGATGGACGAGTTGGAGAAATAAGGAATGTCTACTACGTTCCCGAGCTTAAGAATAACATCTTAAGCATGGGGCAGATGATGGAGAAAGGCAACTCGGTTCTGATGAAGGATCGAGTGCTTTATTTGAAGGACAAACATGATCGTTTAATAGCCCGAGTAGAGATGAAAAAGAATCGGATGTATAAACTAGAGCTGAACATCCTTCAAAATAAGTGCTTGAAGCTGGACGTGAAGGATGAAGCCATGATGTGGCATTTTCGTTTTGGGCATTT